CCGTTCAGGTGTCCCTGTGATGGACTGGAGACCCGTTCAGGTGTCCCCTGCCTTTCACACAGTGACTGCTGGATATTGGCACCAGTGACCTGAAAATGAAGACGTGGTTAAAAATGATGGATGTACTGTATATATTTTAGCTGTGTCATAAAACTTCACATTTCAGAGTGGCCTATTATTGTGGTCAGTCACTTGTTCAATAATCATGCCGTCTTGATTTGCGTCACTTGTGAGGTGGCGCTCAGCAAAGGAGACGCTATTTACACTAATTTGTGAGCAGAGAAAAGGGCGTGTTGTTTTTAGTCTTGGACCTTTTGAGTTCAGCTCATGAAAAATGGGAGCAAAAAACAAGTGTTGCATTTATATTTTGTTCAGTATATGTATGTATTAGGGCATTAACAGAGTACTTGAGTAATCCTCACATCGATTGCTACGACATCTATCGAGGTTAAAAACGTAACATCGAGTATCCGTAGCGACGTCATATTATGTGACCACCGTATGACCGTAGGGGGCGGTGTTGCACTGTTGCAGGTCACAGAGTATGGTGTAACACCGGGTCCAATCCACCAGAACCAGTTTCCGTTAAGTTTTGTTTTTGACGTGCTGCATGTTTCTTCACGTTTGCAGTTTAATAATAATAACTAATAGTTTAGTTTTCCCTGTGACTTATTTGCAGCATGATAAATAGTAGGAGCATAATATACGCTCCCAATGTTTTGTTGGTCTTTTTTTGTTGTAAATAATTACCTTTTTTTTGCGGTTTTACTTATTTATTTTTGTATCTTGAGATCTATGACGTCATCAAATACTCGAGTTCTACTCGGGTTTTATTATGTTAACGTTGAGTTTAAAAATTATATACTCGTTCAACCCGTACGTAGTATGTTGTAGTAAAACGTAGACTCAATGCTAGAATACTAGCATTAATACAGCAGATCAGGGTTCAAATTCACGGAACTTCTCGTTCTTTAGTTTTACTCAAATTTCGTTTTCCCAGTCTAGAAAATACCATTTTCCAGATTTTTCCTGTTTTTCAGTGGCCGTAATTTGTAATGAAATTTTGGAAAATTTTAGGCAATTAAGAAAAAATAAAATTATTTTCTAGTTCATTATAAAGTATTTATTTTTTTTTTTTAACAAATAAATGTGAGCATGGACACAAACACACAAAGTTTGTATTTTTGACTTTATTTCAGCTGTGCACACGATTACTGCGTTCAGAGCGGCGCAGCATCACTATACATTTGTATACAAATGTTCCCATCACCCAGGCTTATGTACAGGCCGACAGAGAACGATGAGCAAAACTCAAGCTCCCAGAATACATCTTGAAAAAGCCATCTTCTGACATTTAACTCATAACAGATGAATAAATGACAAACTATTGAGAATCAAAAAATAAAATTCTACTTTAACTCACACACAACTGTCTCTGCTGCACAAGAACATCTTTATTCACAAATTCCACCCATTTTGTTCAGAAAGCAGGTGTGAAGCAGCAGCAGAGCCTTTCCTGTTTCAAAATAAAAGTCCATGTGAATGAGTCTTGGAGGCTCAACGTGACTTATCTGTTTAAATAAAGGTTGAATGAAGGAAAGTCATGAAACCGTCTTGATTGGACTTTAACGTGCAAATATGTGAAAGCTAATATTTAGCAGAGAGGCTGATTTAAAAGCCTGAGGACTTAAATGAGTGTTTTCACTTTAAACACTAAAATTACACAGATACAATTTTATTTGCAAACTAAATCTGTGTTGACACGTCTAAACTTTACGGAGCCCCAGAGGAGACCTGGACATATTCTTCCCTTTGTGTTCCCTCACAATACTGTAGAGTGTGTAGCATTACGTCACAGACAACAATGGAACAGACCCGTATTTGAGGTTCAAGGAGTTTCGTTTTGAAATCAGCCTTAAATATACCACACCATTTTATTTATAGAGCACTTGAAACAGCTACAAGGCCAACCAAAGTGCTGTACAGACAGAACGACAGGTAACACACGAAGCAAAATACAAAATGAGGTCAATCAGAATATAGACATAAAATCATTGTCGATAATAAATATGACGACAAACCAGTGTGGAGCGTACAGGATCACGACACAGATCCTCTGGTGTTGAAAGCTGCTATATCCTTAAAAATAAAGATATCCAGTGTGTGCTGCAGTGGTAAAATTAGTTGGACGTTGGATATTTCACGTTCATGCTCCGTGGATTCAGCGGTAGCTTCCTCGTTCGAGCCGATGCAGACAGCCTGATGTCGTTCAGCTGCTCTCAGTCTGTCCCTCCTCCGAGGAGAGATGGTTCTCTTAGGGACCGTCAACAAATTACTGGGCTCATGAGCTTGGTCTGAACACTGTTATACTATTTTAGATATATTTTCAGAGTATTTGTCAAAGCAGTAACATGTAGCATAACTAAAGTTTTCTCAGTATATTCCTGCATGGTAATAAATCATTCATTTTCTCACCATTTAAAATCCAAAACAACAAGGTTGTGTTTCAAAAGTACTGTAACTTTCTTTAAAAGCATCAAAGTTCAT